TAAGCACCATAAGAACAAAACCCCTTTATTTTTTTAACTTTAAAACCTCCCAGTGGGGTTGCCAGGAATAGATGTATAATATAATTGTCAGTTGTGTGGATTTACTATTAACGTCCTTTTCTATAGTAAACAATTTCTAAAATTCTGTCTTGTTGAATTTGGATTATGAGAAGTTTTCATCATTGCGTAATATAAAAAATAAGATCTCTGACTGAACTAAAGCTTTATAGTTATAAAGTGTCAGACACCTAGTGTAGCTGAGATTAACAAATGGAGCCCACTGTTAGGGGTTGAATTGTATGCTCTAGAGAGATATGTTGAAATCCTAACCCCCAGTACCTGTAAATGTGACTTTATTTGGAAATAGTCTTTGCAGATGTAATCGAATTAAGATGAGGTCATTCTGGTGGGTCCTAATCCGATGTGACTGATGTCATTACAATGAGAGGAAAATGCCATGTGCAACAGACATACACAGGGAGAATGCATTTTACAACCGAAGGAGAGATTGGAGTTACGCAGCTGCAAGCCAAGGAGCTCGAAGGATTGCTGGTGACACCAGAAAGCTGAGAGAACTGTAGAGCAGCTTCTTCAAGAGAGACTTTGAGAGCATGACTCTGCCTATGCCTTGCTCTCAAGCTTCTGGCCTCCAGAACTGAGACAAACTTCAGTTGTTTTAAGCCACCTGGTTTGTGATGGCGGCCCTAGGAAACTAAGACACCCTTCTTAATGCACTAGTTCTACACATTTATTGAGTATCTGTCAGATACTAACTTAAGGTGCTTGAGATCATAAGTGAGCAAAGACAAAAATTCTGCCTTTGTGGACCTACACTACATTCCAAGGGAGGAGGAGAGAGTGAAGAGACAGATAAAAACCTTAGATGATACCTTCTATGGGTAAAATAGGGTAAAGTGGATAGTGAAGTATTGTAGTTGACAATTAGAATAGGATAGTTAGTGTTGGGTACACTTCTTAGTGATTTGAAACGACATGTTAGGCAAGTGTGTCGTAATAAAAAATATTTGGTCTCCGTTAACGGTTCCTGACACATCTTCTAAAACCCTCATAATTTCCTGAGTAGTTGGGGGTGTCAGGAGCATCTTACACAGAGCTCCTAAATCCCTTGGGATTTCCTGGAGTGTGTTTTGTTCTAATGAGGCAACTTCTGGTGGGCTTCAGGATAAGGGCTTGTCACCAGAAAGACAAGCCCTGATTAGAAGCTTGGAACTTTCAGCCCCAAGGAACTTTTCCTTCCAGGGAGAGGAAAGAGGCTGGAGATCGAGTTAATAAGCCTCCATAAAAATCCCTGTACTACAGGGTTGAAAGCTTTCAGGGTGGTGAACACATGCAGGTGCTAGGAGGGCTGCATTCCAGGAGGGCATGGAAGCTCCATCCGTGACCATTCCCTGTACCTTGCCTTATGCATCTCTTCCATTTGGCTATTCCTGAGTTGTATCCTTCATAATAAACTAGAATACATAAGTAAACTGTTTTCCTAAGTGCTGTGAGCCGTTCTAGGAAATTCTCAAACCCGAGGAGAGGGTTGTGGGTAGCCTCGATTTATAGTAAGGGCGGGAGGTCTTGGCTTGCGATTGGCTTCTCATAGAAAATCCGCTTTAGGCAAGTGGGTCACTCCCCAACTCAAAATACCAAATATCCTCTCTTGTTAAGTGAGTGACACTTTACTAATTTCAGCTTCATCCATCTTTTAGCCTGCTCTCCTTTTGGATAAGATTTATTAAGGTTATAGAATTGCCCTGGCTTTCTAAGAACACCCAATCCAGAACGAGTCCTCACTTCCTTAGACCCTCAAAATTACCCAGTTAAAGCCCAATTCCTATAATAGGTTCTCTCTAATACCCTTCTACTGAAACACCCCACAGTTCTCCATGTAGCGAGTAATACATCAAACTCGTTCAACTACAGGTGATTTTTTTGGTCCAGGCATTGTCACGGTTAAGAAATGTGAAGAGAGGAATGGTGAAGGTAGGCGACTGGGAAGGGGTGACTTGCTCCAAAGGGGAACCGAAATATAATAGTAGCCTGCAGGAAAACTATGTCAACGTTTTTGTTTTAAGATAGAGAAATAACAGCATGTTTGTATGTTGAAGGAAATGAAAGAAAAATCGGTAGTTTAGTAGGAGGAAAGCTTGTGGATAACACAGAGATATCGGAACTAATGCTTTAGGCAGTGTTGGCTTCAGTTTCAGGTAAGAGTGTGGGGAGTTCACCTATGTGGTCTGGTGACTGAGATCCTGGAATGTGCCTGGATGCAGTGTTCTGGATGTAGCGTTCTGGGTGTGTGTGGGTGTTCTCTTTCTGATTACTTCAAAATTATCAGTGAAGAGGAAAGAAGGCAGAAATCCTGCCCTCCCTTCCCCTCAAATACCTAATTGCCCATCCGAATTTTCATATCCTAGTTAGTTCCTTTTCAAAGAACCTGTTTCAAAGAGCCTCACCCTTACCAAAACTTCCTAATAGCCGTTCAATTGGATAGCTAGATCCCAGCTATAGTCCCTAGAACAACGGAAGAAAAGTTAGGTATATTCTCCAGGAGATACTCTCCTACCTTCCCCCCTAACCCAGGACAGGCCCTATAGTAAAAAAAAAACGTAAAAAAAAAAAGAAAGACATTTTCTTCAAAGTCCTCCAGCCTCCCTAGCTGCTTTACATAGGATCTCTTAAGTTTTGAGAAAGCTGCCAAAATCAGGACTCATATTTTTTTCCTGATAAAAGCAAAAACTGCCTTCTACCAGCAACTATGCAAGTATGCAGAGTAACACAGAAAACGAGTCTCAACTTTAAACAGTGGCATTTTAATTTCCCTTGTGCTTTACGGAGGACGTCAGGGAGGGATTACAGAAAGGAAGAGGAACGTGTGCTTCCAAGTGCGCAAGCGCAGTTTGAGACGTGTTTGGTTTGCAAAATGAAGTATTTTCTCCAGCGTTCTGGTTAATATTGAAGTTATTTAAATTAATTCGGCTTTAAAATCCCTCCTTAGTGATAGCATTTTGGGAAAACATTAAGATGCAATTCTGTAAGAAAAAAAAAGTTCATCTGCGCCCAACGTGGGGCTCGAACCCACGACCCTGGGATTAAGAGTCCCATGCTCTACCGACTGAGCTAGCCGGGCGCTCGTGAAATGGTTTCATTTTTTCGTACCTTGATAGTTGTTCAGCTACAGTAGGCTTTATTCTTTCATATTATTACTTCTTTATAAATTGTTTATTATTAAATATGCACTTCTGAATTATTTTCAAGAATTCTTTAAAACATTTCTTTAATTGTACTTAAATTTATTTTCTATTGCGTGGGTATCCAAAGATCATTGAAAACTTAATGCAAATCATCATTACAGTCATTGAATTTTTTCTCTGAAGTATTTAAAAATACTCACTGCCCCCCAAAAACGTTTGAAGGCTATCCACCTTCTACCAAATGGCATACTGGATTCCTACAATTTGAAGGGGGGAGCATTAAAAAACAAAGTTCCACATCTAAGAAGTTAGTGTTACACTGTAGAACAGCAGAGGTTAGATATTTTCCTTCAACATGATCTAGTCAAGAAAAGTTAAATTGAGGAAGAGGATACTCGTTCAATTAAAACACGGCCGCTTTCTGGTAAACTGCTTGACAATTGAGAGATAGGATCCTCAGAGGTTATTACCATCCAGCTCAAATTACAGAAGCTGGGAGATAAGAATTATAGTCATTGAATCTTATGGCAAAGAATGTTAATTCTAAGAGGAAAGGATAAAAACGGATTTTGATCAAATTATGACAAGCTGAGATAATGGAATAAGAGATATTAGGCAACTATTTCTATTAAGCAACTATTTCCCAGATTAAAGGAGCCTAGAGACATGACAATTGAATGCAATATGCGATCTTGGATTTTCTTTTGCAGTAAAGGGCATTATTGAGATAATTGCCAAAATCTAAAAGTCTGTATATAGAAAATAGTATTGTTAATTTTTTAATTTTCATACTTTTACTGTGACTATGTAAAATAATGTTGTTTGGAGGGGAATACACACTTAGGAACTTAGTAGTTAAAAATAATGCTAATAGCCTTTCATTTATTATCACATTAAAATCCAAACTATTCAATACTACAAGATCTGGTCCCATGTCCACCTCTCTGATTTCACATCCAGTTGCTCTTTCCCACTTAATCACTGTAATGGCCCACACTGACCTGAAAGTTCCTATAACATGCCAAGCTTATATTCCTATATTAATCCCAAATCTCAGCTTAAATATCACCCATTCAGAAATTCATTCCCTAAGTACCAGGCCTAAAGTTCAAACCTCTCGTCTCTTCCATCTTCTTATCACAAGGTCCAACTATTTTGCCTATTTACTCTTTGTTGCCTGTTTCCGCCCATTGAATGTAAACTCTATGAGGGATGCGGTTATGTCTACTTCATTAAGTGTTTTGACGAGTACTTGGGACATATTAGAGTTCAAGAAATATCTTTAATCAGTTTTATCCTTAATTCTACTATATAGTTATATTCATAACAAGGGTACTAATGCTTTTGTAAAATTTCCTGAGCTCAAAGGTGATGCCCTTAGAGTGAAACTTCCTTCCTTGGGAGGACAGGTGGGTGAAGGGGATGCTCTCAAAATACTGGGTCAGAATCAGGATGCCAAGTGTGGAGGGAGACCTCTCTCCTACCGCTTTTTCTGGTCTTGGTTAAGAACATCTCTCCGCTTTGTTTTAAAAAAGGATAAGGTAGCAAAACAGAGGGATAATATGAACGATAAATAATTCCTAGAAAATGGAATGGAGGAGCTTCTCAAACAACCCGTAGACTTAAAATGGCTCAACATCACTCGAAAGAAATTGAAGAGGAAGGACACTGTGCGTCCCCTGAACCCCACCTCAACTGAATCTGCATATGCGCGTCGCCCGCCACATTCGTCCCCTCCTTTTCCCACAATCCTCTGTGGCCCGGGCTAAAGACCAAGGAACGAGCCAGACAGAAGACTATTGGTTGAAAGAGCAGCCAATGAGAGATCCTGTTACTAGTCTGCGTGCTGCAGAGTAGAGGGAGCACTTTAGGCCCTGAAGCCTTACGCGTTCCGCTGGTTTTGGCAGGATGAGCTCAATCGGCACCGGGGTGAGTTGACTGCCTCTCGATGTGATGTCTAATGTGAGGATTAGCGTTGAAGGGAACTCGGACAGACCACTTGGGGTGCTCTGGGACTGCCATGGGCCAGGTGGGCCACTTCCAGTTGCCTGGTGAACTGCCGTCTTTCCTGCGCTAATTTCTAGGCCGGAGCCTGCGGTGACGGTGTCCTGAAGCTTTTAAGTTCAGGTTGTAACGGGCTTGGCGGCGCAGCAGTAAGATCTGGAGCCGCATTTGAGTTGCTGAGTCACTTTCTTTAGCATCTTAGGGAAACCGAAAGTGGAGGCTCGTGGGGCCTGAAATAGTGTGTGAAGGGTTTGGACGTCAATTAGCCCCTCTTGAGGACCACGGAGGCGAGGCGGCTTGAGATTCCAGCGTCTGAGACGCAGCTCTTCATGGGCCCTGCACTTCCTAGGGTGCTGCTGACTCACGTGACCTCCACCTTCCCTTCGAGTGTAGTGATCGCTCAGTATGACTCGCTGGAAACACCGTCGGGATAGAACTCAAAAGAAAACTTGTCTGAAAAGCGAAATCTGAAGAATCCTTTTCGTTTTTCCTTTGTCCCAGCTTTTCCTGTACAAATTACTTAACAGCACAGTACCATAAACATTGAAATGATTAGCTAGGGACTTAACAGCTTCTGACTTAATAGACAAAACTTGATGATTTTGTATTTGGACTTGTTAATTTGTTCGGCTTACTACTTTACGTTGTTAAACGTCCTGCATATATACAATCTTGCTTACGCCTTTATATATTTTCCATATAGAAAATAGTTTTGTTTAGAAATATTTATTGAGTGTTTGCACTAGAGGCATCGAATAATGGGTTTCTTAGTTCATCTGTATCTATAGTTCACAAGATTTTGATTCTCAGCATTAAGCCCATATACCGGTTTTCCGAGTTTGATAATAAGTATCTTAAGTTTGGAATGGTTTAATCCATTCGGTTATGAGATGCTAAGGTTATGACATACTTTTTTAGGAGTAGTTGCTCAATAATGCATGCTGTAGCAAATTGATTTTGCAACTTCATTAATATTCCTCGCGATTGATAGTGTTTCCTTCTACAAATCCTTTAAAAATACTTGATAATATAACCATGTGAGATATTTTGGTATAACAGTGATAAAATTAAGGATCACTGTTTAGCAGATCAGGAAACAGACTCAGGAAGCACCACTGTTGAAGGCTTTTCTCCTGTCCTCACTTCTGTCAAGAACTCCCAATATGAAGACCTATCTATTTGACATTTCCCTCTACTTGGTTGTTTAATAGGCATTTCAAACGACATGCCCTAAGTAAAGCTCTGGGTTTTCTCCTCTCCTTGTCATTTTGTATCTCTTACAATCTTCAGTTTTCAGTGAATGGTCCAGTTCTAGTTGCTTAAATGAAAAAAAAATTTGTGATTCACCTTTAATTTCTTTGTTACTTTACTCCTAGAGCAAATTCATTAGCAAGTTTTTTTCCTTTCTCCCAGAGCTCTACCCTCAAAAGTTATTGCTTTCAGACTCTTTTTCTCTAAGCCACCACTTTTGGAATACCTGAGCTCTGCTTCCACTCTTGTTCCTTCTGCAATTCATTAGATCATATCACCCCTGTTTAAATTTCAGTGACTTCCTATTGCATTTAGAATACACTATAAACTTCCTACTCCAGCCTAGAAGACTCAGCATGTTTTGGCCCTTACAATGTCTGATACAGTGCTCAAGACAAAGTGGCCTTATTTCTTTTTCCTTGATTGTGCTAGGCTTATTTCTTCCTTAACCCCTTGGGTACCAATTTATTTGAAAATTTTTGCATGTGGAACAGATTTAATTTTTCTGTACTTGGAGTAATATGTAAAAGCAGTAGATTTCATGTAAAAGTCCACTGATTTCTAAAAAATCAGTGACATCGGGTTGTCAGAAAAGTCATGACGTATTTTTTCTGATTTTCATTACAAAATGCGTCATGATTTTTCCGACAACCTAGTACATAGTATTGAGATGACTTCAGGTAACTAGAATTGCAAAACAAAAATAAATAAATAAGAAAACACAAAACTAAAACAAATAAATTCAATGTATAACAAAAAGCAAATTAATAGTTATGAAGAGTATGGTATTTTTCAAAGCAAGTAGGTAAATTTGCACTGCCAGGTAGTTTCTTTCCTAATTTTATGTTTATAACAAGCATGGCACCTTTTTGTAGGGCGTTGCTTGGACTCAGTTGACTGAACATTCTCAGGAAAGTGCCCAATTTTTCGCCTGCAAATGAAAAGGTGTAGCGCTATTTGAAGGATGTCCACGACAATTATAATTTGGCAATGACACTTGCTCCAGTAATTGTTCAGCAATAGCTAGATGAAGGCAAACAATGCATGTTTTGGTTGTGCAGTTGATTATAGAATATAAAACATGTGCATTATAAAGGCTACGTCTATTAGACAAGAAAACATTTTCTTATATCCCTTTACACATTTTCTCATAACAGGGAAGCACGCCAGCATTTGATCCTGTTTATCAACGCCTCTCATATCTTTATTATACTCAAGCACACATGCTGGTTTATAATATTTTCGATATCGTCATCTTGCTTTCTCTTTTTGCCTGTGTCTATCAACTCAGCTAAGTATGTGAATGTCTTTTTTTTTTTTTTTAAAGATTTTTTATTGGGGAATTGGGATGGGAACAGTGCTGGGGAATTGGGGGAAGGGGAACAGACAAGTTGCTGTCCTTTTGTTCTTCGTCTAGTTGTGGAGGACATTGCTTCACTGGCCCAAGTTGGCACCATCATTGTGCTCTTCCTGGGCAAGGCAGATCAGTCGCCGGCTTCTGGACGGCCGCTCACTGCAGCTGCTGGCCGCTGGCTACATACGGTAGCCCATGGCAACCCACTGCCACGGGGGCTGCAGCGGACGCCGTCTCCGGTGACTCACGGCAGCCCAGCTCCAGGTTGAGCTGTTGTTCAGCATCTTAGCTGTGGAGGGCAGTGTCACTGGCCCTCATATGTGGGATCCGAACCGGGGCCCTCTGGCGTCCCAAACCAGCTCTTAACCATCGCGCCACTCGGCTGGCCCTGAATGTCTTTTTTATCTTTCCATTTCAAAGCCAATAAACTGCAACTGGATAAAGTTTTGACTTCTCTTTTTTCCAACAACTACTCTAAGATGAACAAGAATGTACATGTTAAATATTATCTTAAAATCAAATGACAAGTTAGACTTGTCATCTTGCACTTAGGCAAAACAAGTGCACGACGAGTCTCAGTTGTCAAATGTACCCAAGGGACTGTCTTTATGCCACATATAGAGGATGGCTCCTCCATATCCTAAATGGCTAGTTACTCCTTATTTAGATCTGACTCAGTCTAACTAAATATAATTGCCCCAGCAAGGCCTTTCCTTTCCAGATCAGGTAGTCTGTAGTAGTCCCTCAGACTATCCCTTCAACCTGTTTTATTTTCATTATAGTCCTCAGTCTGGTTTATTGCTATTATCGCCAGCACCTAGATTTATGTCTGGTCTGATTTGAAAATGAAGGACTTCAAAAATGAGTCTTCTTTGTATTCCCTAATAGTGACTAATATATGCTTATTAAATGTTTGAAGGCTAAATGATTTGTCTAATTAAGGCCCTTCAGGTTGTTAGTGGCACAGCTATGAATTAAAATATTCTGACTCCAGTGCTATTTCTGCTATCCCACAGTAAGTTTTTTAAAAAATGATCTTTGTGTGAAAAAGTTCTGCTTTTATTTAGGACTTGTATCTATTGCTTTTCGATAGCAGAATTCTAAAATGTATAACTTTTCCCTTGGCTGCTGTTGCTGCTCTGGCATGCTAAAGCAAAATCTTGGTTGAGATTTAACATACATTTCTGATGTGTAAGCCAATTAGAAATATATATATATATATATATATATATATATATATATATATATATATATATATATATATATATATATATATATAAGGTTACCACTGCCAAAGATACATCATTATAGGCTTATTGTTGCCCTTTTCCTCTTAGTATGACCTGTCAGCCTCTACATTCTCTCCTGATGGAAGAGTTTTTCAAGTTGAATATGCTATGAAGGCTGTGGAAAATAGTAGGTAAGAAACATTGTTTTACTTGAAATTAGCATGTTTTAACCAGTTATTAAATAGCTCCTTTTCTGTATTTTTGGTAATTAGCCTTTGTTATGTGACTTTGGTACAAAATAATATGTGCCCTAAAATAATCTTATTAGTCATTTTCAGATCTCTTTTAGGCCAGATCTTTTCATGAGCCTCAGTCCTATTCCGGGATTATTCACTTGGACATTTTACCATGTCTCAAATGTAGTGTATAAAACCAAATTCGTTACCATCTTTGCTAGCCCATTTCCCTTTTTTAAATTCTGGGTTTATAAGATTGTTTTCCTTGGTCATTAGTTTTGTGACTAGTATTTCTTTGTGTTTTTGTCCTGTGCAGTCAGTCACATGTTCCTCTCTGCAGGAATTTTGTAACATTGTGAATTGATCATTTGGAATATAGTCACTGAGTTACAACAGATCTTCCAAATTTGACATACTTACTTATTAAACTATCAAGCATCACACCTGTTAATCTCACCATCACTCTGATCACAAAAGTTTGTGAGTATGGGAAACATACAATCTCACAGTGGTGAATATGTTTTCTGAAATTCCAATTTATGCTTCAAAACTTGAATTTTATTATTGGTAACAAAATACTGTGAGTTCTTTTCCTTGAAGTGATGGTCTCACTTGTTCATTTTAGACAAAAAGGAAAAGTTTGCCGTATACCTAAGTATGAATAACCATAGTTTGTCTGACATTCTTTGAAGGTAAACAAATATTCCATGAGAAAATTCACAACTCAAAAGTTTTACCAGTGCCTATTCCTTTAGGCAACGATTATTTTGATTTACAGTAGAAGTTCACTGAGTAGCTTCCATTTCAGTATAAACAACATGTACTTAAGGGTTATCATCTAATAAAATTAATTACTGCTTTATCAAGGACATTCTTAAACTAAAAGTGGCTTTTTTTAAAATAGCACAGCATTGAAGAATACAATCAGTAGCTTACTGCTATCTTTAGCAGTAACTTACTGCCTTTATTTGTGTAAAGTGCCAGCAGTTTTACCCACCAATGCTTCTGTACTGTACCATCAGTGCAGACATCTACACAGTGGAAAAGGCAAATGATGTCTTTGTACTTTTTATGAAAATAATTTTATCCTTACCAGACCCCTGAAAGGGTCTCATGGATTCCCAATGGGTTCACAGACCACACTTTGAGAACTTTTAGTTCAGAATAAAGAACATTGTAGATTCTGAACAGTGAGTAAGATGATGACTTGGAAGAAGCAGGGAAGGCTACCTGAGGCTGTAGAGTTTAAGTTCGAGTGAATTTGCTAAAATTTGTAGAAATTTATTTAAATATGCAGTGGTGAGGAGGAAGTATATTCTAGCACCCAAGATAACCTCATTGGAGACATAAAAGCCAAAGTGAACGTAAGTGTTTGAGGGATGATAGGTTGAATTCAGTACAGCACAGGATTTATAACAAAATTGAATAAGCTAATTGGGCTTTGCAGATTGTCAGTATTTTTGAAAGGTGGGCCAAGCAGTTTAAACTTAAAAGGGGAGCCACTGAAGATACCTGAAGTGAGGGAGAAGGAGTCTGAAATTCGTTGCAAAATGAGTGTGGTGCTCTGTTCATTCTACTGATTATTTCTGATCAGAATTCCCTTTATTAAAAGAATTAGAAAAATAAGGAATATATTTTCATCATGAAATGGCAACATAATTTCTTTATATTTTACTTAAGAGATTACTTAAAGATCTATTTTGTTTTAAAAGTTGTACAAAACATATGTTTTATTTTTTTATGTACTTCTTAAGTAGTATATGGTTATTGCAGAAAAAGCAAATGAGCAAAGAAAAAGAATTATAACCTATCTAGTCACTGTTAACTTTTTAGTTTGTGTATAGCCTGTCTTTTCTATGCATATTAGGTACCATTTTTAATGGACATGAATTTAGTCAACATTTGTTATAATATGGCTATCATGCCAGACACTGTGCCATTTTACACATATTTTTTTGTTTTTTTTTTCGTTTATGTATTAAAATCTTTTTTATGTCATAATATAAGTGGTGGTTTGTTTTTTTGTTTTTGTCACATGATGTTTATTTACATACCGTATTTGTCGGCGTATAAGACGACTGGGCGTATAAGACGACCCCCTAACATTTCCACTCAAAATACAGAGTTTGTTATATACTCGCCGTATAAGACTACCCCCTCTTCCGCACACCTTCCACACACCAAATAAAAGGTAAAACAATATCAGATTTGATTTGGCCCACTGAAGTGCAAACAAGCGTATTGTATTTCGTGTCACCACATAACCGTTTTGGCGATGTTGAGCCACCATGTCTGCTACATGTTTTTCGAGTTCTGGCCAGTGTGGGGTGCCTCTTCTTAATGCACACTTACCCCTTGGCATACTCTTTAATGCTTTCTCATTTGATTTCCAGTCCCGAACCATCTTTTCTGTTACTCCATATTGTCTTGCAGCAGCACAATTATTATTTTCCTTAGCAAAGTTTATAACTTTCAGTTTAAAATTTGCATCATACTTCTTTCTTTTGGCTGGTGCCATGATAGGGATGATAGGGGTTTGACTGGTCGACATTTTCTATGCTGTACTGTACAATGGTGCAGTATTGTGGTTGGCTGTTGGCTGTATACAAAGCCTGATTTGATTGGTCCCTGCTCCCTGTTTGCCCGCCCTGTCACTATAGCAGTCTGGTCCACCCTTGCATCAGCATCTCCCTGGGACCTCACTAGTGCGCAAGTGCGAGCTCTTCAACATTCTAACAGGCACCATGATAGCGCAAAATCGCGAATCTTCAATGCATATGTAAAGAAATATACGGTAACCCGAATTTACCACACTCGCAAAATCGCACACAACCGACCATACACCCAGTATGGTATCGCGATTCGCGATTTTGCGCTATCATACTGGGTGTATGGTCAGCTGTGTGCGATTTTGCGAGTGTGGTAAAATCGCATAACAGCAAAATCGCATAACAGCCGAGCATACACCCAGCAGCGCTGCTGATGCCTGAACGGTATGTGGAATGAAGTGGGCGGGCATCGGGAGGCCACTATGGCACGGGGCAAGCACTATGGGCAGTCTATCTGAAGTGTACCTGGCGTATAAGACAACCCCCCACTTGGAGGCATATTTTTCAGGGCCAAAAATCGTCTTATACGCCGGCAAATACGGTAGATCTAATTTACCATACTTGCGTTTGTTTCCCATTACTGGTTTTCAAATATATTTGTTTTAAAGTGCTTGACATGTTTTAAAAAACTAAATGCTACCCTATTTTTGTGTATTTTTTTAACTTAAGTTTATGAAGTATATTTTCATAAAAACATTGATTTTCTTCTATTTGTTTCAGTACAGCTATTGGAATCAGATGTAAAGATGGCGTTGTCTTTGGGGTAGAAAAATTAGTCCTTTCTAAACTTTATGAAGAAGGTTCCAACAAACGACTTTTTAATGTTGATCGACATGTTGGAATGGTAAGGTCACGTTTAAAAATGGTCTTTTTGCCTTGTCCAATTTCTTGTGAAGTAACTAATTGGAATATGTTAAAATGTGATTATAAGAGCCCATTTATTACTTTAGCATTGAGGCAGAAACAGATTAGAGAACATCCACAGAAGTAATCACAGTTAGTTACTGGTTTGTGAACAGTTTACTATCTAAAAGAAACATAGCATTCTTATAACCTGCTTGGAGATAGATGTGAAAAACCTAGTTGCCTTAAGAAAAAGAGGAGGGGAGAAGGTTGGGAAGTATATATACAAAAGAGATCTTGACAGCACAGATTATTAATGAAGGCATATGCTTGAGAGTCAAAGAATCTTAAGCTTTTTGTATCCCTGTGGGGACTACTGTCGTACTGAAGATGTAGTCAGACAGAGTAAGGCAGAGCACCAGGAAGGATGTTTTATGAAAGGAAAAGTAAACACATCTATTTTAATACTTTCATAGGCATCACTATATTTATTTCATGCAGCTGATATCTTGAATGATTGCTTTGCACAATTGCAAGCCAAGCCATACATACATTACTGGTATATACTGAAGTTATCCTGTATGGATGTCAGACTTTCTTCAGTAAGAACAACTACCTAAAGAGGAAAATGATTTTAATCCTGCTTACTGAAAAGGCTAGGAAGAAGAGGAAACCTGTGTGCTGGGTACTATGAGTATGCTTGAGGTTCGTTACATAAATTATCTGGTTTAAGCCTGACAACCAAGTGGAAGTAATATTAATCCCATTTTTACAGATGAGAAGACAGACTCACAGCTGATAAAGATATAAGCTGGGATTCAGACTTGTGTTTGCATAGCCTACATGTTACTCCAACACCCGGTCTGCAGGGTGGGATCCTATAGGACCCGTTCGTTCTTCTATTAGCTTTGGCATTTCTAAATGAGATGTGCTACACTCAAACACCAATAAGTCCGATAAAGTATAACCAGTAAACTGTAAAGCTACAGATTAAATTTTCCTTTTGCTTTAGTGATTATTTTTTCTGAACATATTTTCACTTCTCAACAAATTATTATTGCCAGTGAAACTGATGTGTTTTGTTGAAACTTGCCAGATTGTAACCAAGCTGATAGAAGGGGAACTAGTGAATTATGCATTCTTTCGCTTAGTAAAAAAACAAAACAAAAACACACACACTTTAGGTGGGTGTATTTTGGGGGGGGGGGAAATATATATATATATATATATATATATATGCTTATAGGCACTTTAGTGATGGAAACATTGTCCTAGAATTTTCATATTTGTCCTATTTGTTATTGAAAGCCGGGAAACATGGTATTCCTTATAGCTGGAAGTTGACAAAACATTAGACATAGAAGAGGGTTTGAAACAATGAAGGATTAATGTTTTATTTCCACAATTGTCATCTTCAAGTGATTTGAGAATTATTGGACTCCACAATAAGGTTTCTCCAAAGCGGTAGAAGATTTCAGTGATGGCATTTACTGGCTGGGTAATCTTTGGAAAATTTTTCTATACATGTTTCCTCGCCTTCAAAACTAGAGTGGTAATAGTATCTGCTTCATACAGTTGTTGCAAAGTTAAAAATAATTATGTAAAATGCTTAGCATGTAATGAGTATTCAATATGTGTTAGGAATTTTCATCATTGTTACTATTAGTAGGTAATAGAAAAAAAGGCTGTTAAAAATTCTGATACAACTATTAAATTTTGCAAATCTCCTAAGCATGCAGTTCCCAGACTTTCTTGCTTCCTAGTACCTGTGTTTCAGTAATTTTTTTTATTTTTATGGCATCCCTGGGCCAAAAGAAATACCCAGTGGTTCTATTAAGTATTTAGGTCCAAACAACCTAGTGCCTATGCCCTAAAAACTTAGTATCTTAAAAAAAAAAAATACATGTAGTGAAAGAAATAGATAATTATTTTTAAACAACCACAATTTGCACTGCACAACTTCTTAAATTTCATTACATGCTGCCCGCCTCATTTCCTGCTCCACATTGATTTTTACTCAGTACTTACAGCAGCAACTGGCTTCTCAGTGATCTAATGGTATTGAAAGGAGTGTAGAATAATCTAATATTGAAACTGAACTACATTGACAGATATTTCCCCAAACTTAATATTCCACAACTCTGAGTTCTCCACAGTGCCCCAAGATACCTCAGTACATGGTTTGGTAACTGCAGTTCTAAGCCACCAATCTTGGAAGATATGTGGTTTGTCATATTTTGCTTTGGCATTGCAATATGTCAGCAGGCTAAAAAAGGAGATCAGAGGTTGTGCCATTTAGACCAAAACTTTTAATAACTTTTTTTTTTTTTTTTAAAGATTTCATTGGGGAATTGAGGAAGGGGAACAGTGTTGGGGAATTGGGGGAGGGGAACAGCGAAGTTGTTGTACTTCAATCTTAGTTGTGGAGGGCGCAGCTAGCACAGATCCAAGTCCAGTCGCCATCCGGCCACCCGTGGGCAGCTCACAGCCGCTTAGCTGAAGGTAAGGTGTTCAATCTTAGTTGAGGATGGGCATAGCCCACCATCCCATGAGGGAGTCGAACCGGAAACCTTGTTAGGAGCACTTGCTTTCATCAACTGAGCCATCCTGACACGTTGGCAGCTCGGGCGCAGCTCACTGGCCCGTGTGGGAATTGAACCGGCAGCCCTGTTGCTCAGAGCTTGCACGCTTAACCAACTGAGCCACTTGGCTGGCCCCTTACTAACTTTTTGAATGTAGAACTCCTTTAAATGAAGATCAATCCTTACCAAGACCAATAGTTTTATTCTTTACAATGAAGTGTTAAATGGAGATGTGGAGGATTTATTATAAAAATATTGCTCTGAATGTGATCATTGGGCAAAGCAGTGAAGTCACACTTGGAAAATTTCCAAATTGTAATCCCATACGTAAGCATAAAAATGCCAGAATGTCTTAAAAGACCTTTAAGCCAAAGAAACTTCTAATGGTGATGCTTGTTAAAAAATATTATGTAAGCTTATACTGATTACATACTTGCCTTGATTTATGATAGGTATATCTATTAAATTGGTACTTATTTTCTTTCAGGCAGTAGCAGGTTTGTTGGCAGATGCTCGTTCTTTAGCAGACATTGCAAGAGAAGAAGCTTCCAACTTTAGATCTAACTTTGGCTATAACATTCCACTAAAAGTAAGTTGATAACATGTTGAGGAGCCTTTTGAACAGTAATAGAAGTTTATTAATAAGCTCTTCTGTTTTCCTTCTCCCCTCCCCCATAGCATCTGGCAGACAGAGTGGCCATGTATGTACATGCATATACACTCTACAGTGCTGTTAGACCTTTTGGCTGCAGGTATGAAATTTTGTGAGATATTCAGTCAGATCTGTACTATGGGTATTTTTCCTCCAGCATCTTGGTCTTTTATTCCTTTAAAAATATGAACTATTACAAGAAGTATTAAGGTAGTGATTAAATAAAACAGTGTACAAAAAAATAAAAACTTTGAATAATGAAAATACAGATTTGAAATGATGATAAATGGAATTCAGTTAAAGCTAGTCTGATTATAATAAATTCTCTGGAGGAAGGTGATCTGGTCTAAAGGTATAAACTTCCAGTTATAAGATAAATACTTGGGATATAATGTACAACATCATAACTATAGGTAACACTGCTGTATGATATATAGGAAAGTCAAGAGAGTAGACCCTATTGAGTTCTCGTCACAAGCAGAAAATTTTTTTTCTTTTTGTTGTATTTATATGAGATGATGGGTGTTAACTGAAACTGTTGTAATCATGTTACAATATATGTAACTCAAACCATCATGATGTACATACAAAACTTACACAGTGATGTTATTTCTCAAACTGAGAAAGAAAATTCTCTGATGTTAGACCATGACATTCTCAGGAAACTGCAAACTAACATTCCATGTTGTAATTATTAGGTAGCCAACTCTACTGACACCTCAGTTTTCTCATTAATTTCCATCTGTATACTTTAAGTAGTTAGGTAAAATGCTTTTAAATGGGAGCTTTTTAGCAGTTAGTAATGAATCCATACAAAATTGCAATTCAAGTTTCAGTTAGTTTATTATTATGGTTAAGGTAAAATACTGGTATTTTTATTTTGGGGGAAAGCTGGGATTCAATTGATTGCATCAAGACCTGGAATGCATGTAAATATTCAAATATGACTTCTCAGAGGAGATCTGTCACGACTACATTTTTATAAAAAAGACATGTTTAGTTTAAGTTTTAAAAAATAAGTCAATCATGTTTGATCAAAATCAAACATTTACTAAATCTAAGTGCATGCTACTGTTAAAGGTTGTAGAAAGAAATTTATTAGCTGTAGTCCTACCTTTGAGTTGTTTATAATTATCATATTTACATTACTAAGGAGGGCAGATATTAGAGAAAACCTGAGTTTTATTCTACTTGCAATAGGTTAGACATGTGGATAGTTTGTATATTAGTAGTTGTTCATAAAGTTCTCACTTAAATTACATTATGAAACACTTTCTTTCAGACTTCATAGAAAGAATACTTTTCATTTTTAACCTTTCAACTGAGTTTCGAATTCATCAGTTCTCACTTTTTTTAAAGGAGAATAGTGGAGAGCAGAAAACTCAGTAAACATTTATTGAGCACATACTATGAGTCAGTCACAGACGGGAGAGCACAAAGATGAGTAGTCACCATTGGTATATATAATTTTAGAGGTGATATGATAAAGGCATGTATAGTGGGACACCACTTAGGAAATGGCCTCTTTTTTGGAGAGTTGGCAATGAAAGGATGTGAGATGTAGGGGGGAAGGATAAGTGTATTTCAAGCAAAAGGAGGGGTATGGAAACTACATGGGCATTTCAGGTAATGCAGAAGTAGTCAAGTATACTTGGTGTATAGACTATAAGGTTTATATGATACTGAAGATGTAGGAGGGGCCAGATCATACAGAAGTCTGCTCCATATTATGGAAACATAGAAGGGTTTTAAAATAATGATAATCAGTTATGTATTCTGAAAGATAAGTCTCATAGCTATGTGGAAGATGGAAAGGAATGAATTTATTGAGCATATAAAAATGTATTGAACCAATTTGGATTATTGTAGCAAAATAAAGAGGAATATGGAAGAATAATAAAAAAAGAATGAAGGGTAGAGCAAGAGTTTGAGGTAGGTTCAGTGCACTCAAGTCAGGAATTTTTCCATCTTGGGTCTTTCATGTTTATGTCTTTACCCATTAGTTTTCCATCTATCATTACTCCTTTATCTATACTGCCATCTTCCTATCAAAGTTTTATCAAAAAGTTTAACACTAAACAAAGGCAAATGAATTCTGAACAATTTCAAGAATGTACTAGTTTTTATTGAAACCTGTTAAAGTGTTGAATGAGTTATATGTACATTAGTAGTTTATCTTAGAAAGTATAATTGTATATTTATCTTTCAAAATATTTTTATGATTAAGAACCATGGTTTAAACTGTTAATTTACTTTTTTATGCAGTTTCATGTTAGGGTCTTACGGTGTGAATGACGGCGCACAACTCTACATGATTGACCCATCAGGTGTTTCATATGTGAGTAATTTTGAATCATATGAAATTCTATTTCTAGATTATTGATAACTTTTTAGCACATAAATCGTATTTGGATTATATGAAGTTTCTTTAAAATTTATTCAAGGAAAGTAACATTTTCTTATATATCATTAATAACAATAACCTATGGATATGAGGCAGAGGAAAGGTTTGTGGCTTTCAATATGCTGTTTATAGAAACTGCATATTGAACATACAATTTTGAATGTGTGATATTCCCTTTATTACTATAAATATTAGCAGTGTCTTAAAACTGAATATCTTCCCTTTTAAAAAAGGATTTTAAATGGGATTTCTTAGACCTTTCTCTAATTACCTTTTAACCGTCTTCTGAGATTTTTATGGTTTTTATCAATTAAAAAAAAAGACTATATTTTGTCATTATGCACAAGTGTAAATGGGTATCCTTATCTTTAAAAGATAACCTTTATGATATAAATAATAAAGAATGATGATTTAGACTATAAAACTCATAGGAATGACTTTGTCTCAGAAATAACTTCTTTTTCATTGTTATAAGGCTAAAAAAAAATTTTCATTCCTATCCTCAAAAATGTCTATAGTTCATGAAGTATATGTAATAATTTGTTTTTCTTTGGATATCTCTATTAAAAAGAATACAGATTATTCTAGAACGAAGTTTGGTATTTTTATTTTTTTGAGCCCCTTGGTGTTCATTACAAGGTATTTGACTATTTCTCCATACTTGCTTTTCAAAGTCATTTAACATCCTTTCATTATTAATTTATAAGTAGAAAATCATTAATGATTTATGATAGTATGTTAATTAACGTATATTATTTTTTGATTTGTGTTCTTTTTAAATAGGGTTATTGGGGCTGTGCTATTGGCAAAGCCAGGCAAGCTGCAAAAACAGAAATAGAAAAGCTTCAGGTAATACATAATTAATGCTTGAATTTTTGCTATAACATTATCTTTATGTAGTGAAGTTTTATCACCAAAAACTAAACCTTTTAGTCCAAGGATGTATAGTGTGGTTTGCTGTTTTGAGCAGAACTTATTGTAGCTCCTAAGAGGCTGAATAGAAAAGCTGGTAACATATTACTTAGAGCTGTGTCATGGATCCCTTTATGATTTTGATGGCTGCCTATTATAAAACCTTAATCCAGAAAAGTACAAATTATATAACTTCACAAAATCCTTGAAACCCATTCATGGAGCCTTGTGACCTTTGGTTAAGAACTTTGGTGTTTTATTATATCATGTTTTTCCTCTCTGGAGCACAGCTTTTGTCAGTGGAAGTCTTCACATTAGGAATCTGACTGCTCCAATGCTTCTCTTTCCTTTGTTCCTGCCTACATAAGGCATGAAAGAAAACCTGTTTTGTTCCAACTGTACCCTTATTATTTTCCCAGGAGCTAGAAATGCATATGTTAGTGTAAAAAAGTTTTCTTAGAAGTTTGCTGGTTTTCCTTTTAGCCAAATTGTTCAACTTAATATTGAAACAGTGTCTACCAACTCTTTATTACTTATCAGAAACTCCCCTAAAAGGCAGGTATATGATTTATTGATATTTTGGTAAATTACAGTGAGAAAAAAGTTTTACACTTTTTATTGATGCTGTACTGGAACTTTGCAACTGCTCCTTCAGCTTATTTAAGTCCAGGCTCTATAAAACATCTTTTTAGTGCTTGGAATTTAATGCCAAGTTCTAGACCTAAAAAGCCTAATTCATGTTTGGTGTTTTAATACAATTGATGAAAGGATCTTTAGACATCACTTAGCCCGAGCACAACCCTGGATTAAAGACATGAGTTCACAGAGCTCATGACTCTTAAATCAGTGTTCTTTTCCATCACACTTCCAGGTATGGCACTAAGTTCATATCTTTACTCTTTTCCCTTTTGCTTTCATCTTTCCTTAGTATTATGTAGAAATTTGAAAAGAGTATTTAGAGCAGTCAGGTGTCCTTTTGTCTTTCTGAGGTTAAATCCTAGTGAGGAATGGCAATTCCAACAAATCCTAGCTAAGAATTGAGAAAGATCACTTCAAGTGAGGAACACATATACTTAAATGACAAAAACTTGCTCTAAATCAGATCAACAGACTATGACACACTGCCTACATAAGTATTATGGGAACACAGCCACATTCAGTCTATGGCTGCTTTTCACTACAACAATAGTGTTATTAGTTGGAACAGAAACCAAAGACTATATGGACCACAAAGTATAAAATATTTACTGTTTGGCCCTTTACAGAAAGAGTTTGCCAACCACTGCTGTACATCATTGCTCTGGGTTGTTTTTCTTCTGATGTTCTGTTTACCAAAAACAATATTTGATGAAATAAAAACGTCACGAACATATGTAAGAATATATTTGCCATTTAAAATGTGCCTTTTCACATTTGCTTAAGTTTGCCTTTGTAAGATACATTCAATTTACTTAATATAGAACTTAATCGCTAATGGCAAAAGTATGAAGATTAGTATTCCTTTCCTTCAGTTCACCCCTAATTTTAACATGTAAAAATATAAACATCAGGGGGCCGGCTGAGTGGCTCAGTTGGTTAAGAGCTCCCTCAAGAGTTTGAGCTCTGAGCAACAGCAGTTCGAGTCCAGCCCGAGCTGAGCAGCCGCTGAGCTGCCAACAGGTAGCAGGATGGCTCAGCTAAAAACAAAAATAAATAAAAAATAAAAAAATAAAAATAATACAAATATCTATCTGTTGAAATTAATATTTACCAATATTTTATCCACTTGTATGCTTTCTTTTGATTTGAAGTAAAAATTGCCAACATCATGACAGTGCATCCCTAAATGCTTCAGCATTCATCTCCTTAGAATACCATTATCACACCCAAAATATAATCTAATATTCAGTCCTTAATTGAGTTGCCTCAGTAGTCTCAACAATGTCGTTTGTAACTTTTCAAACCATGATATATTAAGGTTCACATACTGAATTTGTTTCTTGTAGCTCTTCTAAGAGTATTCATGTCCCCCCAATATTAATTTTTTGAAGAGCCTGTGCCAGTTGCTTTGTTGTGGGTCCCACATATTAGATTTGTCTATTTCCTAACAAGACTGGTATTCTTAAATTTAAATTCAGTATTATTTTTTGTTTCTGCTTCCTCATGTGATTGTGCAGGCAGTTAGAGCATCAGCATTTTTAAATCTAAAAAAAAATACCAAAAATAAAATATTGACAAACCTAGAGATAAAGTAATTGAATCACCTTGAGTCTGGGCTGCTTTATGAATACCCTTTTTCTTTCACCATTTTCATCTTCTCCAATACATCCAGAATATGAATGCCAATTTCCTCAAACATATTTTTGATCTTACAATGCATGTTTAGAAACCCATATGCCTAAGAAAATCCTGCATTGATTATTTCCAGTACTTACCATATACAAACTCCTCTGTGGGGCAAGTAAGGACTTTTTTTTTTTTTACCCTGATTTCCAAATGTACACTGTAAGAATGCTCATTACTTCTACTATGAACAAGATTTTGGCTTACCACTTCATTTATCTTCCTCAAAATCAAACCAAATCCAACTGTGTTCTAAGAACCCACTCAAATCTTGGTTCTTCAAAGCTTTCCCTAACATTTTGCATTATCTTTCAAACATCAGGGTCTGCCTGTGAACAGAATCAGAGGGGTCTGGATTTTTATAAATTTTAATACCACAAACTTAGTGGACCCAGGTGTTGTCCAGAATATGTATTATGGCATAATAATTTAAAAACATTAAAGTGTGAATCAAGAACTTAGGTTCTGGTCGTTTGGGATTTTAGCTTGTTTCCTTGGTTTTATATCTGAGAATCTATCTCAAGAACATTGGTTGTTGATATAGGTTGTGAAAAGAATCTGAAAATAGTTACACAAGTGGAAAGTGTTGGTCTTTTGATTCTTAACTTAATGAATATATATTTTATTTTTTGTAGATGAAAGAAATGACTTGCCGTGATGTTGTTAAAGAAGTTGCAAAAATGTAAGCTGAAATTTTCCTTACCATTGACAAAAATATTTCACTTTACCTTACCATATACATTAATTCTAAGAGGCTGTTTTGTTTGAAGATAATGCATAATCTTTAGAAGGTAAATTTTATATTCTAAAAAGGAAAATTAAGGAAGAGAATATCCATATTTTAAGTGACAATTACTGGGGTGGGGAAAAACAGCTTTGACAAAATAAACTCCCATTTAGGTGACAGAATTCAAGGGTAGGAGGATATACTGGACTTCCAAGAGCTTCGTTTCATAGTTCCCAACTTCTGAAATCTGAGAAGTCCCAATAACAGTAATTTTACCTTACAAACTTTATTTTCAGTTTACAGCTCATTATTTCCATACATGATCCATGAACCTGGCTTGTTTACATAATCTGTTTCTTTGAGCAAGATATATTAATCATAGAAGTTCTTGTAACAAGATGGAGAAGAGCAGTATTTCAAAACATTTAAATAACAGTTTAAGAAAGCCTGAAGTGGTTGATGTTATAGGTACATAGAGTGGAATGCTATGTAACAGTTAATAGTAAACAACAACAAAGCCTGTAAACCTGATAGCAGTGCTTCCCAATTCATGATTCTTCTAGATCAGGGGTAGGCAAACCGGCAGCTCGTGAGCCACATGCATCTCTTTGGGTACGTTCTGTCTCAAAAGTTTGCCGACCCCTGGAAGAGCTAATCCTGTCCCTCACAACAATTTAAAAATTATTTGAGAGCAATAAATATATTTTTACAAATAAGGAAAATTTAAAGTAATACTATAAATGAAACTATGATAGTTTTATTTTCATTTTCAATTTCACTTCAGAGCCACATGTACATACCCAAAGAGCTGCATGTGGCTCGCGAGCCCGTTTGCCGACCCCTGGCAGTCTTCCGTCTCAAAAGTTTGCTGATCCGTTCTAGATCAAGGAATGCAAGCCATTAGGATTTCAAAAAACCCAATAAAATGCTGGTTTTGCAGTCAGCTTTTCAGATTTGAAAGTAATAAACAATATTCCAGAGAATTCACAGCATCTCTGTTCCACATTAGAACTACATGAACAGTCTGGTCAGTCAGCTCTTTGTGCAAGTGTTTCAGGTTTTGCCTCTAATAATACATGCAAGGAAAAAACGTCCTAAATGGCACTATTATATAAGAGGTATACTAAACGGTAGCCTTTCTCTCTTTTGATAGTTTTTACAACTAAAATATTAAAATCTCAAAGTGTTTTAAGTCTTAATTGTCCAGCACTCCTGTTACTGCCACTCACCCTCTCTTCTCCTTTTACCACCTTTCCCCTTTCCCGTTATGAAGCAGGACCCATTTTATAATTATCAGTTAATGACTTAAGGAACATTGGAACTAACATACAACTGCTTAAAAAGAAAGTAATCCACACTGAATTGACAACATTTTAACATGAGAAACTCAGTTTCCTTCACTGAGATGTGCTTCTGGAAATCAGTCCATACCATACCTTTTATGTTTAGGTATAATAGTAGACACCAATTAGTTCCATGTAGGAAAGCCATCCCTTCATAAACTCATAAAATAGAGTACTATGTATCTTTTACTTAGTTCCAAAAAAATTAAGGTCATTTCTCATAGCAAGGCTTAGGAATATTCCTCAAAAGTAAGATGTGTAAGATGGTATGGGAAGTATAAAATAGGAAAGCTTTGCTCTAATACTTAAGTTTTAATACTTTTACTTTAATGGGTTGCGTTACGGTGCCTCCTTGTTTGCTGTGTTTTGGCATCTATGGTAGTTTGAAGGCCAGGTGAAGGATCATATTATTTTTATAAAATGGATAGGAGTTTAAAAAGATTCCTGCCATGAAGAGACCACTAATAATTGCAAACTAAAAAATGTTTGTTTTAAAAATAATCAGGTAATGAGTGGAGAAAACATGTATCTTATGAGGTATTTTTTTAGTTACGTCTCTAAAACAATGTATCAAAGTAAACATGTTGTAAAGGTATCTTGAATCATTTTAGTGTTTAAATTGTATAATTTGTTGTCTTTTCTATGTTCATAAACTATAATGTGTATCTGTTTAAATTTATACTAGAGATGCGTGTTCTAATTTGTGCAGACTGGGTGCATGAACTACAATGTTTGTAGATGACCAAATGGTTGTTGTAATTTTCCCTTTCCTGTTCTAGAATTTACATAGTACACGATGAAGTTAAGGATAAAGCTTTTGAACTAGAGCTCAGCTGGGTTGGTGAAAGTAAGTCACTGTGTATTTATTTGCTCTGGGAGTCATTTGTACCAAACCTAATTTACTACTTGGTGCCTTTTTAATTTTTAAAATAATTTGTTAATGACCTATACATAGAAAAGTACACAAATTACAAATGAATTGATGAATGGTTCTATGAATACACTCATGTAACCACTGCTCTAGTCAACAAATAGACCAGCACCCCAGATCACAGGCCTACTAAGTAGTCCCTACCTTCTCCCCAAAAGTAACCATTATCCTGAATTCTACCACCATAGTTTTGCATGTTGAAGTTTAAATAAATGGAATTATACATGTATTTTTTTGTCCCTGATTTCAACATATTTGTGTAAATCATTTGTGTCACTTTGTATTTTAAGTAGTATTTGTTCATTTGCCTTGCTGTA